AAGACGACCACAGATGCGACAGTAGCTGTCAAATTTGTGGAAAAGACCACGCTAAAGCCGATAAAAGCTGCACGGCCAGGTTCAAGAAACTACATTGTAAAACAGGGGCAATAAGCCAGACTACCAGAACATCAAATGCAAAGATCATCGTCACCATGTGAGCACTCAACATGGAGATAAGGAAAACGACAACAAACAAGATCTCGCTCCGTTTCAAGGAACCATAGCCCTGCAAACTCCCATGCCAGTTCTAGGTCGGGATCGGCGTCTAAGGGACCAACAAACAAGATGAGCTGGGCAGAGAAAGCACATGGCTTGCGAACGGAGGAAAAACAGGGGGTTAAAAATAACAACAGTAGCAATGAAAGCAAGTGTCAAGAGCTACAACGGCAGAAAGATGAAAACAGACGAATAAAAAAATGTTGGAAGATATGCAAGCTCAAATAAAACTCCTCGCTATGAAACGCAATTGCGCAGAACCAGAAGCCTTATAATAACCAATACTCTGATGCTGGAGGAAATACTCATAGCCGACGATCTCAAAGAGGTAACTGCTCTTCCGTTAAAACGAAAGGCAAAAACGTAGAAAACTACAGATCCCTCAACATCAAACAAGAAAGCATCTCGCAGCAAATAGTAGGATAACATTGAGAAAAAAGTGGAACAGTTATTAACCGCGCTCCAATCGATTCTAAAAACCACCCCTAAGACGCCTGTTGACCTTACGGCACAAGCAGCCAGGTTAGAAACGCCGGAACGAGGAAACAACGCGAAAACATCGGCAGACCTTCATGGTGCAGTCGCGAACGTTCACCAACAACCATAGGCTCCATATCTCCTGCAGGCAACTCCCACAAAATCACCAACCCCTCTCATCCACCCACCTATATTCACGCCCCCCACACAGATAACGAACGGCGATGATGAGGCGTGGTAAATGACAACTCCGCATATGAAATTGAAATGGTAAAAGATTCAGGGCTAAGAGATCTGTCATCCCCCAGGACATTAGACAAGGTAACAAGCCAGGTGTTATTTTACTTCAAGAAACACATGGTCTCGCCAAACTTCCAGGATACCAGTCAGTAAGTCTCGGTCGTGAAGAAGGAAATAAAGCTCTCACTACACTAGTACGGAGGGACATTAGGGTCAGAACCCATAATCTACAATGTGGATAAAACCATATAATGAAAAAAACTTTTTACTAGGAAAGCAAAATTAAGCAGCATATTTATTCTTAACGTAAAGAGCAGTCCTTCAAATCACATTCAACAATTTCACACTCTATTTAGGCAGGCCGTGATATCAGTTGGCAGCGCCCCGCTCATCAGAGCAGGGGTCTTGAAAGCCCCACACGAGGCATAAGGATATGGTTTCACCACCCCAAAGAAAAACGGTTATGGCAGAGCATACAAGACGAACACCTTACTCTGACAACACACCCGCATGCACACACACGCATACGTACAAGCACCCAGCGAAACACAACACCGGAGCTTACAATAACCAAGAATGCCCCGGGGGCTACAGAGTACAACACATTAGATGATTTAGGCAGTGACCATCGCGTACTCCAAACGCACCTACCATTCACCAACAGCGACAGAATTACGACCGAGCGTAACACGAGACGTCTAGTTGACGGGGATATATTTCGGGAGATCAGAAAAAAATTACTGAACACCTTGACGATATCCAGCAATGGTGCGATAGCATAATATACACCGTCAGAAAAGCCACACATGCAGTACAAACAGATATCCCTGTGGAGCACATCGGTAACAGAATAATCTACCACGTGGCGAGCTAAAGAAGCGTTACAACACATATAGCGGAGACAATTAAACAATAGAATGATCCGAAAAATAGCACAGCTCCACAAAGACACTGAAAGTCACTGCAAGCAGCTGGGTGAGCAACAATGGGCGGAGATTTGTAAGAAAATGGGCACCCATATTGGAACATCACAAACGTAGAAGTTCTTATTGTTTCTCTTGGATCCCATCAGTACCAAAACTGAACAGAGACAACACTATTAGTCGTCTCACACGCGAATGCTAAGGTAACGACGAACAGCTCATGACAGAGTTACAAAATATCTACATGCCCAAATCGCCACCACTACAACATAAAAACCATACAGGCGAAGCAAGCCCCAAAATGGACAAAAACTTTGACGCATCGGAGATCACCGCGGAGCTCCACAAATTAAATATAAAATCAGCGCCTGGACCCGATGGAGTTACCAACCGAACATTACATAACCTGGACAATGAATCCATAGAATTTTAACTGGATATATGAACAAATGTTGGACTGAAGCGGAAATACCCGATGCGTGGAAAGAGGCTAGGACTACACTTAACCAAAAACTAGAAAGCCAACCAACAAACTAAATCTCTGATCCATCTGAATAACGTCATGCGTAGCAAAACTGATGGCACATGCATTTCAAAATAGAGCCAACAACTGTCTTGAAAATAGTGAATACTACCCATACACAATGATAGGCTTCCGTCGTCACCTAGCCACTCAAGACGCCATGCTACAGATTAAACACCAAATCATAGACTGCCCCACAACATTCACACGAGGCATACTCGATCTGGATTGCAAGAAATCGTTTTACAATGCAGCTCATGAAACAATTCCCGGCCGCATATTGAGCTTAAACATGGTTGAGCGAGCCTACAATTTCGTCGGACACTTCTTAACCAACCGGAAAACAAGAGTCAGCTTAGGAGGCCTTACATCTGATCTCTAAAGATTAAGCTGCAGAGGCAGTTTAAAGATTGATTGATTGATTTGTGGGGTTTAACGTTCCAAAACCACAATATGAATATGAGAGACGCCGTAGTGGAGGGCTCCGAAAATTTAGACCACCTGGGGTTCTTTAACGTGCACCCAAATCTGAGCACATGGGCCTACAACATGTCCACCTCCGTGGGAAATGCAGCCGCCGCAGCCGGGATTCGATTACACGACTTGTAGATGCACTCTACAGGGCTCCGTAATATTGCCAATGCTACTTATTCTAATCATGATTGAACTACCCAAAGCGCAAGATAAAATCCCAGAAGTATATTACTCTATATACGCGGATGATATCACAATATGGGTCAGTAACGGCAGCGACGGCTACATAGAAAAGAGATTCCAAGAAACATTAGGAATAGCTTAGCAATGCCTGGAAGGCACAGAACTCACAAGCTCTTCGGAGAAATGGGAACTTCTCTACAGGCCAGCAATTAGAGGCAGACCATTGACGTTAGAGGAAAACAAGCGTCAATACGAGGAAATTAGGATTCATGCACAGAAGGGCGCAGTTATACCGATAGTCCCAAAAATACGGGTACTGGGATTAGTCATCGATGCTGACGGCGCCAACGGCCAGACTGCCAGTGCCAAAGTCACAAATACGATGAGACTCATTCGCAGGGTCACAAACAAACACCAAGGTTTGAAAGAAGACCACATATATTGTCTAATCTAGGCCTTCGTCATAAGCCACATAACGTATGTAGCAGCATACCACAACTGGCAAAAAGCCTAAATTAACAAAATAAATGCACTCATCTGGAAGGTCTACAAACAAGCGATAGGAATACCTGAGTATGCTAGCACAGACCTACTTCTTGATCTAGGACTACACAACATGCTTGAAGGGAATATAATAGCTCAGCGCATATCCCAGCTTGAAACATTCACTAAATCTAAAACATGAAGAAGCATAATGAGCAAATAAGGAAATATGCACCATGCACAACATGGTTTCGAACATGATATCCCCAATCAAATCAGAGCTCAGATCATCTCTAACCCAATTCCAAAAAGACATGAAGCCCAATAAAAACATGGACCACAGAAAACCCCGAGCAAAAGCACTGCTCGAAGCACATGGCTGGAACAGTAAATTTTCTTTTGTAGATGCTAGCCCTTACCCGGAACAAAAGGCTCACACTGTTCTCGTGATCGACTCGTCCAGCCTTTGTATTATTGCGTGCTCTGTCATAACAAGCAATACAGAGGAGGCTGATGAGGTAGCCATAGCCATGGCTATCACCTCCAACAAACACTCATACTGAGCGATTCGCAAGTAGCCATCAGAAATTTTACGCAAGGACGGATTTTAACACAAGCCCTAAGAATCCTTGTTGATGATCAAGAACAACACAAAGTAGAATAACCGAAATACCGCGTATGATTCTCGGCGCACATAGAGACTGGTATATCCGATTCGAACGAGCTGGCGAATACATGTAACACTGCAAAGAACTAAGGTGTGTCTTTCCCGCACTTAAACGAGTCTAAACAGGCAAGAAGCATCGTAATATTGACAGCTACAGACAAACTTCTACCCGAATTCCGTGCATTTTCACAAGAGCTACCCACACTTATACCTGGACAATAAATGTAAGTCATGTGTAACAGAAAAGGCATCTTATAAACATATAATATGGGAATCCTCCAACTTATTAGCAAGTTTTCTTGAGGTCCTCCGGGAGCAGTGGCGGCTTGTGCTTCTCAGCTCGGAGGTTTAAGACCAAAAATGGGCTATCCAGCAGGCCAGGGAGGCTGTGCAGAGACAAGGTCTTCCGGTACTTCCTTGTGTGGTCTGGCCCGGCCCACAAACATGCTGGATACGAAAATAAAGTTTAATAATTCATTCATTCATTCGTTCATTTCAACAGCTTGTTCACTTTGACAAATCATCTTGGCCATCCTGTCTTGACGCAGCCAGCATCGGTCGCGGACTGACTTCCTGGACTACAAAAGAGTATTCATTTTATGCGAGACAATCCTGGTGAAGGTCAAAATATTTGAAGATGCAGTGGACCTCTTTTCTCAGTGTTTAACTTGCGAATGGAGAATTTTGGTGCATTAGTTGAGTCAACTGAGCGATCTTGTGGCCAATGGAAGCATTGTTGCATTTCAAAAAGGACAAAAATTTATGATAACCAGGTAAGACAATAGACCACCCTTTTTCAAATGCTGTGCAGGCTAAGGCGCGGCCACCGGCATGCTGCGCAGCGGCTCCCTGCTTCTTCTGATGTCTGGGTTGGGGCTCTGCCTCGACCTCGAGAACATCCAGAGGTCATCACACTTCCCCGGCGGCGCCTCTCCTCAGCAGGGCCAGCAGCACCACTACGGCGCCTCCAAGCGAACCTCTGTTCCTAGGAGGGACCCCCAGGAGCTCCATGGGCGTGCCCTTGTAGCGCCCTCCCGCAGTAGCAGCAGCCCAGAAGAGAGATACTACTACCGGCTGCTTTCTAGCCGCATGGCTCGACTGCTCCCCGCTCTCTTGGGCGAACAGCAGCAGCAGTACGCCCGAGAAGCTCCCGTAGTTGGCGCCTCTCTTTTCGGCGATGACAGCCGTGATGCTGGTCGCGCAGCCAGCCACGTGGCGGGTGAGGACGCGACCGGAGAGAAGGAGCAGAAGGAGCAGGGAGGCGAGCAAGAGGCCGACCGAAGTGATGATGTACCTGCCCAAAAGACGTGTGGTGCACTCCACGGCGGGAAGCCCGAAGAGGAGGATGCAGGAACCAGGTGAGTGAACGAGCCAGACGTTGCTGGTTCATTCTGACAATTAAAAACAAGATGGCTAGGGAAATGAAAACAAACATTCATATTGGGAGAGGCACATTGACCCCGCAAGGGGTCAACTAAGCACTCCGTAGCGGGAGATCTGACTACACTATGACAGCTAATTTCGAGAAAGTGAACGCTTCATCATTTTAGAATAGCGTACCTGAACCACCACGGTGATATCGGTGCTCGACGCTAAGGTTGTACGATCTCATACCGGGCAGTTATGCCCTATGAAGCCGCTCATGTTTGAGGCCAGTTTAACTAGATTGAAGAGCACGTTTAAAAATGCTAGTTGATAGAAATTACAGTAGCAAGAGTTGAACTTCTTAGTACATTATATTTGTGCGTAAGCAACGGAACAGAAACAACGATGGTGATCGCTCAACTTTCAGCAACCTTTAGTTAGAAAGCGCGCGCGTATTTGTATTCTTCTACACCGACATCATTTACCCCTATTGCGCACGTAGGCCATCTCTTTAACCGTGATCTGCAGAGAAAGCACGAGAAAGCACGCCATTTCTCAGATAGCAAGTTCTTTCTCATTCCGTGATTTTGTGTGTGAAATGTGTTTTGCTCTTTTTACTGCCGGAATCAATACTGGAGTTGGGTGATCAATCGTGGCAGCTTATGCAATGATTAGCAGAAAAACCTTCAAAATTTTTTCCGTCACGTGAAATTTTGTAGCCTGAGCTACACTAGGGTGCCCAAGCTACACTGGCCAGGTTGAGTGGGTTAGCGTGGTGTACAATGAGCAGTGCTGTACATGTGCGAGAAGCAGTCATTGCGTGCACCTAGCTGGGCCGCGCATTCCCGGGGAGTGACGTCATGGCCATGGCAGATGCATTCTGATCGTACCCCTTGGCTCATACTCCTCGAGACACGTTGCTCTCTCCATTTTGTGTCATGTCTGCCGCGGCGCTATAGTACTGCTATAAGTAAAAGGGCGGGCCCATTACCCGTAAAGTAGAGACGCTGCGGTCGCCGAGACGAGTAGACACATTCAATTCGGCTACGTCTTTTGCTAATGTTTCCGCAGCATTTTCGTCACTGTGTGGTCCATACTTGAGATCATCCGATCCGTGAAGAAGACGGGATTCGGCACATGTCAAACCTTGAAGTGGGCCACTGCTTTTCTGGACATTATCTCAACTTTTGTGCTGCCGTCGCGTTGGCCAAGTACTAGGTACAGCGTCTGGCAGCCCTACGTGGTGGAACACGCACGTCCGGCATGGTAGCTATGCAACTACAAGGAGAAGTGCTGTCGGCAGAGAAATTTACTGAAGATCTAGGATGGCGGATGGTGTCCAACCGAAAATCATGACTTCCGACGAAGCCTGCATCAGGTGATGGTGGTTCACAATGTGACCTGGCTGAACGTTGATGCACAGAGTGACGGCACAGAGGCTTGGTAATTAGGCGACGCATTCTGAAGGCGTCGCGAACTCCACCGATGCCGGAAGAGAACATCAAGATAGTAATTCACCCCGGGGTAGATTGTATCTGGAGAAAGTCGGTTCTACAACTGCGGGCAAGGCTATCGTTGACGCGGCAGCCTCATTACTAAGCAGATTCAAAAAGACATTATTTGCCCCAACTCCAGACTAAATATATTTGGGGCTAGTACGCCAGAGAAGAGCAACGCCGAACGCTTTGTCAGAATCAGGTCAGCAAGATTGAAGAACAAGAATTTTGAAGTCAGTGCATACGAGACTGCCCTATACTCTACGTGTAAAGGGGTGATTCGCCATGTGGACATTAGAGATAGACCTGCTGCACTTGAGCGGAACATCGTAAATGAACGCAATTCACTGGCTCTGGCCGTCAAAAGGATCAAGAATACCGGTTTGGTAATCATTGTGTTTGACGGCTTAAGAGTCCCCAAGTTTAAGGTATGTGCCAACTTTGGTTCGTTATTACTTGTACTGCAAGCAAGTCGAAGTATGCTATGTGCGTGGAAAGCTTGGACAGCGAGCGGGTGTCTGTCCTGTGCCCAATTGCCTTGAATGCCGGGGATGCGGTGCTAAGAATTCTGCAGAGAACCAAAACTGTGAGCCTTGTTGCAAGCTTTGTGGAGGTCGACACCTTACGGTGAATGAACAATGCAGAGAACGGTCAGGAGGAAGAGTCTGCGTTTGTTGACACAGCATGGATTAACCGCGAAGATGCTTACTCAGTGGTGGTGGTGGTAGATGGAAATGGGAGCGTTTGAAATGCCACTTCCGTTTATACTAAAGATCTGGGGGTCACTGAGCAGATGACTATTGCCCTAGCACTCATTGATTCGGAAAGAGTTTTAGTATTTAGTGACTCTCGCTCTGCAATTGAAGCCTCCTTGATGGGAGTTATTAGCGAACCAGCTCAGAGACTGCTGCATGGTAAGGACATCGCTCCGCATACCATTACTTGGCTCGCGGTGCACGTAGGGTCAGTGGAGAAGCACCACGTAATCTCAATGAGCTGGCTCACAGGAAGGCACGAAAATTAGTGTGCTGTACAATCTCTGAGTCGGCTGAATCTCCCGCTCCAGAGTTAAGGTACCAGCTGGTAACGTACAATAATATAACCAAACATTATTACTTAGAGCGCAGGGGATTCCCCCTGCCACATTCTAGACTTAACAGGCCCCAGGCGGTTACATTAAAACTTCTGCAGACGCGGATATACCCCAACCCAGTTTTTATGAATGAAATAATCCGGACTGGGGGCTTCGATTTATTGTAGTAAGTGTGCGGGCTTGCGCAATTTTGAACACATGCTCTGTCGCTGCTCGCCAATGGCCGTTGCGGCTTTTCACGGTGAAAATTGGTGGCAGCGACTGCTGCACAGTGACGCGCTGACGGACCAACTCAGGGCTGTCTAGAGGGCCCGCGTGGCGCCAGAGTGGCTTGGCCTCTCTGTACCGACGTGGTAGCAGCCAGCATCAGTCGTAGACTGATCCTCAGGACATAAATAAGCTATGCTATACGATAGCTATACAATTCTTAATAATAATTAAGTGACTCGATGTTTAGGTTTCTGCAGACAACACAGACTATATTGTCACGACGTCAAAACAGAGGTCTTGCCGTAGAGATTGAGACACCAGAAGCAGGTCGATCTTTTTAATTAGAACGCGCAAGCGAGTTCTTCTTTTTTGTCCATTTCGTAGTCCTTCGTGGCACTTGCACAACTGCCATCGTCTTTCTTTAGCAAGCACGTGACATTTGCCTCCCTCCGAAAGAAGCATCGTCCCGATGCGCAACTGAGGTGCTCTAGCAGGCGTATAAAGTGGCGTATGACGGTAACGGGAAGGTAATTAACTCGATAACTACGGTTTAATACGCACTATGTGCACGACTTCGGGCAAATGCTTTTGGCGCTTAGAACTACAATTATTGTCGGGAACGACTTCGTAGTTCACGTCGTTCAAGCGTCGCGTGACGCTGTATGGACCAAGTACCGTCTTAGCAATTTCTCAGACCATCCACGTAAACGTATCGGAATCCAGACCCACACTTCGTCGCCTGGTGTGTAGCTAACAAACTTGTGTCGGGTGTCGGAGCGTTGTGCTTCTTGATGCTGCTGATGACAGACGCGCACGCGCGCGAGCTGTCTGGCTTCTTCGGCACGCTGAGTGAATTCTTCGGCGTCTACATGGATGTCGTCACACTCATGCGGCAACATGGCATCCAATGTTGTCGTGACTGTGCGACCATAGATCAGACTGAATGGTGTCATTCCAGTGGTTTCTTGTCGAGCAGTGTTATAAGCAAAGGTCACGTACGGCAATATCTGATCCCAGTTTTTATGTTCCGTGTCAACGTACTTGCTGATCATGTCTGTGAGAGTCCTATTGAGGCGCTCCGTCAGTCCGTTTGTCCGCGGATGGTATGCAGTTGTTCTCCGGTGAGCTGTACCGCTGAGTCTGAGAACCGACTCCAAAAGCTCTGCGGTGAAGGCAGGTCCTCTGTCTGTGATCACTGTTGTCGGAGCGCCATGCCGAAGGACGATGTTTTCGATGAAAAACTGAGCGGCTTCTGCTGCTGTGCCACGCTGCATTGCCTTAGTCTCCGCATAACGGGACAGGTAATCAGTGACCACAATAATCCATCTGTTCCCTGTTGTGGAAGTTGGAAAGGGACCCAGGAAGTCCATTCCAATCTGGGTGAACGGCTTTTCTGGTGCTTCGACTGGATGTAAAAGACCAGCTGACTTGCTGGGAGGGACTTTGCATTTTTGGTAGTCGGTGCAAGTTCGCACGTGATGGTTAACAGCAGCAGGTAACTTTGGCCAGTAGTACTTGCACCGTAGTCGGCACAATGTTCGGGTGTAGCCGAGATGACCAGAAGTTGCTTCATCATGGCACGCTTCCATAATTTTTTTCGAAGAGAGGCAGGACCGACGAGCAAGTTCGGGTTATACCGGTTGGTGAGAAGTTTTTCTTATAGAGAACATTGTTTCGCAAGCAAAAAGATGGCAGTCCTCTAGCAAATAAACGCGGCACGTCTTTACGTCGTCCTTCTAAATATTCAATGAGTGGTGACAGCTCAGGGTCACTGCGCTGCTCTCGTGCAATAGTGGCACTAGTGTTGACAACTCCCAAGAATGCCGCGTCGATGTCTTCGTCATTTGGAGCGACCGTTTCCACTGGCGACCGTGAGAGACAGGCAGCGTCGGTGTGCCTCTTCCCAGATTTGTAGACGATGGTCATGTCAAACTCTTGAAGTCTTAGACTCCAGAGCGCCAAACAACCAGATGTATCTTTAAGGTTGGTGAGCCAGCACAAAGAGTGATGGTCGCTAACAACCTTGAAGGAGCGGCCGTACAAATACGGACGAAATTTGATGACTGCCCACACCACGGTGAAACACTCCTTCTTGGTTGTCGAGCAGTTCTCCTCCGTGCGAGAGAGAGTTCTGCTGGCGTAGGCTATTATTCTTTCACAGCCGTCTTGCCACTGCACCAGAACGGCACCTAGA